GTCTAATTGGTAAAAGAGGTTGTTGTGCCAAACAATGGATAAGAATTTTGGTTACTGGTGAGAAAGCATCCCCATGATCCAACCATAATTTTGAGAGTGACGTTTAGCAACAAAATAAGCCTCAAGGAGATCAATCTAATTATCAAGACCAACCATGTTAATGCAAACCCAATCAAATTTCCTAAGTAACACAATCTTCAATTATTATTTAAGACCGCCATTGAATAAGAAAGAGTACCATTAATTATCTTTGGGATAGAAAAATAAGGCAAAATGATAAAAGGTCATAACATGCTAAACACAAACGATGGTAACTCAAATAACAATATATAAGATGAGACTTAAGAGTACAATGAATACCTTCTCCAAAAGTGAGATGAGGTGGTTAAGAGGGGGTAGGTTCACAATATGTAAAGGTGTTAGTGTAGGAAGTTGGCCATCCAGTGTTGTTAAAATTTCCCTTTAAGATGGGGATAAGTTTGTGAAGATGAAGGCTTATACCATAAAATGCAATTGTCCATTTTCTAATCGCTTAGCAGCACACACAACATGCTTGCCCCTCTCTTCCATCCAAATTAAAGAAGCCTAAACTAGCGATGAGTTAGCATCATGCCCGGCACATCAAAGTATTTGCATGTCCTATTATCTATTAGTTGATGAAAATGTATTTTCTTTTTAATATTTGGTTTAAAATGTCACAAATTATTTCATAATTTTGACTTTTATAATTCTTATATGTGCTTCATGTTTTACAAATTGACAATCTTGGAGTCATCCGTGGTTTAAAATGCGCAATATGAGGCTCGCCTTGAGGCCCGCCTTTACGTAATTCCAGTAAAAAACGCATCGATGCTTACGCTTCAAGTTTTTTTTAATTGCGCCTCAACTTGGTTGAGGACCGTCTTGAGGCCCGCCCGCCTCACTGGCATGAGGCTTACGCCTCACGCTATATATACTAAAACTTACATAAATCTTGAAGTAAATGCCCAACATTGAACTCTATAGGAAAGTATGAAGGGGAGAGAGCAGTTCATCATAATGATGATTTAAATGAGAACCCCTTAGGGATAACAGTGTTGATGACTTATGAGTTCTTATGTGATATGTCATTGCTATTTGTTTTTGGAAATTGGAATTATATGTTAATGAAAAGAATACTGGGATTTGGGAAAGATAGAATTTTGAGTTGAACTATATTTCATATTGTCTTATTATTGGGATATTTTGATTTCAATTCATATCTTATGCTTTTTTATGTTTTATATTATTCACTCATTAGTATATAAAAAAATTATAATTTTATTTTTACGCAATCCTTTGATTTTGAGGCTTACGCCTCAAAACACCTTAAGGCTTACGCCTCGCCTCACGAATGAAAAACGCCTCAATACTCGAATACGCAATTTTAAACATTGAAGTCATCTATAGCATCTTCAGCTTCAATGAGAGGCTAAGGAGGAGAATCTGGGCAATAAGCTCAAACTGAGAGATCAAGTAGATAAATCAAAGTAACAATAAGTTTAATATTGAAGGGAGGCCAAAGATAGAATCGAAAAAACCTCAAATATAATAGCATACACAACTAGAGATGAAGAAAAGAGTGGTGAATTACCAAAAGTAGCATTTATTTAAGTGAAGTAGCGATTAGTAGCCATAGATAACATTTGTTCAGAGTAGCTCCAAAATATGCATTCAAAGGTTTTAAATGAAAGTTTAACCTTTTATTGGAGTTAGAATATGAATAAAATAAGTACCACTGAAGAATACGAGCAAAAAAGAATACAAATATTAGTTAGAAAGTAGACTGGAATGGGGAATCTGATCACACAAAAGAAGGCCCCTGCTTACACTTCGCCTCGATAAATCAAAACACATTCGTCCCAATTTTTTCCTTTTAAACATGGATAACTAGAAGAATCTCATCTATGTCAATTTGATGCAAAAAAAAATTTGTATCAAAGAGCATGCCACATCCCAATCCTTATCCATGGGTTCAGATTCAAAAAAGGCCAAAGATTAAGTTTGACAGTCAGGGTCGCTTGAAGCATACAATAACTAAGGACATCAATGAGATGGTATACAATGAGATCCTACTTAGCATCTACTAAGTCGTCTTTGACAACACAACTTCATAATGGCATGTGGCACTGCATCAACAACATTATTAATGTTAGTTCATAAAGGAAAGACCATTTTGCTTTAAAAAAAAAACTAGTGTGCCATAATAGACATGATAACAATAGCACGAGTAGGTTGTCTTATTATGTCCACCAAAATTTCTTTTGATGTTGGTCTACTATATTGAAGAAGAAAGGGTGTGTCATGGTCTCTCAATCTTAAGCAATAAAGGTGATAGAGACAAAAAATGATTTATGTGAATGGATCACTCTTAAAAAAGGCATAAAGACGCCACCAAAAGGGGCAACCGAGCAAGACATGTATACAGTGTTGACACATTTTGCGAAATCTATCAATATACAGAAACTCAATTAACAAGGATGGTTCCATCAATACGAAGGCATTCAACGAGTTGTTAAGATCACATAAAATAACACAATAATGTATCATAAGCTACAAAAAAGGCACCATAAAAAAGAAAAAAAATGTCTTACAAAAAAAAAAGCTATAGGGCAAAAGTTGCCACAATACTACCCTCTTGCCAATTCACCAAAAAAAACATGACAAGAAGTTAAATCTTCTAAATTTTGGCAAGCTCAGAAGTTGTTATATCATTACCACCGAACCAAGCCAAACTAAGTAGTGCGCCCATGTTATAACCATGGACATGAGAAAGAGTGAATAAGAATTGAAGGGAAAACAATAATCTAGGTAGCTCATAAAAACAAATGCTATGTAAGCTCCATGATCCAGACAGCCCTGAATTTTTAATTAGAAACATCCCAAAAGATCAATTGTCAAACACAACAAATAGGTAAGTAGGCAGGTTGGAAAATAACACCTATCCCCCCCCCCCAAACACCCACCCACCCACCTACACAATAATGATTTCAATGGAATGAAACCCTTCCAAAAGAGGGCACATGTTCTCAAAATTAGATATGAAATTGATGGCTAATATAAACATCCACTTCAAAGAATTTTATAAGAAGTGTCCCTCCTAATTTGGCATCAAACTGTGAATAGATCAATAGATAAAATCAGTTGATTACAGACCATATTATATCTTAATGAGACTACCAGAGATGGTATTCAAATCACACTATTAAGACAGAAAAAGAGATCATCAATAGTTCACTAATGAAGGCATATTGTCAAACAAAGTCTCGGTGATCAAAATCAAAAGATAAAGTATGGATCATTAGATCAAAATCCATATTATAGCAGGATAAGGAAACGTTTTGAATTTTAAATCTATTTTGAACAAATTTGTACTTTACTTTTAATTATGGATTTTATGGATTAGAATGAATTTAATTATAATTATATTTTAACTTAAAGTTACCTAACTAGGAAAAAAATCTTTTTTTTAATCTCATATCGATGATCTGCCATTTGATAGCTATGTTAAATGATATTCTAGTCAGATATACCAAGTAGTATATAATGTGCATCATATTTAAGAATGCTCGGATGTAAATTTTAAGAATTTAGCACAAGAGTTTACCAGAATAATTTTAGGGTCCTTAAATTATTACAAGAATTATAGTTTTTAGGAAAGAATAATATCAAATGACAAACAATCAGCAGAGGTTTCCTGATTTTAGATCGCAATGGATTTTTAACAAATTAGCCATACACTTTGATGTACTGGCTAAGAAGACTAGAATCTTATGAAAATCAATGCATGCAATACTTCAATAAATTTTATTTTTTGAAACAGATACAATATAACCCAAATGCTATGTTGCACGGATACTCCTATTTACGAGGCGTGCTGTATCGGATACGTGTCGGATACGGATATGCCTCCAATACGGCACGGATACGTGTCGGATACGGCCTTGCCGTGTCCGATTAAAATATTATTTAAATTTGACTGGACACGCTTATTGGATATGCGTGTCCTATTAAAAAAAATACGGAGCCACGATTTACCTATTCTTTTCGACTTTCCACCGTTTCCGCTCAAACACAACTTCATTTAATTAATGACATTGTGTCTAAAGGCTATCCTAATAAAGATAGAATGAAATTTAATTTGTTTGCTTTTTAATAATTGCAATTGATATTACCAGTTAGGATAAAGTATAAGATTTCTAAACAAAAGTTAAATGTTTATAAACAACTATTAGATATAAATCAGTTCATAATTTGTCATATCAGCTATATAAGAAGCAATATAGCCAATATTTTCATGATCAAAGCCTTATTTTATTTGATTAATTGTTAAAAATATTCGGTAATATAAAAACCCAAATCACCACCAACTAACTAAATAAAGTTATTTATTATTATTTTATATAAAAATAAAAAAGATGCATTAATAACTTAGAGAATAGCCACAATCGACTTCTCCAGTTACTTTAATTAACACACTAGTCTACTTTATGATTAGAAATCCTAACTTCTAAAATTGGGGCTACAATTCCCTCCCCTCATAGCAATAAACTCTAGACCTCCGGTAAATTTGAGAGATTAAAGGGCCAAAAATCCGAATCAACAACCAGTCACATTTATAATGAACTTTCATTGCCAACTTACTACTATTGTTACATTTAGTGTTAGCAATAATTCCTTCTAGCACAAACTCAAAATGTCCTGCATTTTCTTAAGTTTGGCATCCAAATTTCAAACGAAAGACATCACATATGTAGAACTACAGCTTCACCAGAAAAAATTTACTGCTACTGAAACCAATGGCTTGAAAGCACTCGAATAAACACCAAGAAATTTACATAAGATTAAAATAACACCTATCATGTCCCCTAGCAGCACTTGTTCCTCCCCTTATGTTATATTTCCACCAGTATTCTAACTTGATAAATGGCATTCATTAAACAATTATATATAAGAAAAATAATTGGCATGAAAGAACAAACATTATCTTCCGGTTCCTTGTCCTCTGTTTCATTTGCAACTTCTTCCTTATCCTTGCTTGCATCTCCTCGTTGCCCATCTTCATGGTTCGCTTGCTTCTCCGGAGCCACAGGCTTTTCATCAAAGTTTACAGTTTCCTCAATCCCCCTACCAATCATAAATTACCAAGAATCATCAAAACTTAGTAAAATAAAGAACATAGTCGATGTTAAAATCAAAAAAGGAGGTATCTTAACTGCGCATTAACATCATCAGTCACTGTACCCCAGTTGCCACGCCCTGCACCCTCTCTTTTCATCTCATATCCACGCCCAGTTCCACTTCTTCGCTCAAAAACTCTTCGTTGGGTACGATCCGAATCCAATCCACCTTCTGTATTCCCGTCCAAAACCCCACCACGCCGGCCTCCACGGAATGATCCGCGGGGCTGGTCATAATTCCCACGTTCCCTTTCTAATGCCTTCCCAGCATCACCTTCTTCAGAAGCAGGGCCTCCACGATAACCACCGCCACTGCCATATCTATTGGTGTTCGCATTTCCAAAATCTCTACCTTGCCCGATCCCAGCTCCTCGACCACCCCTACCACGCCCAGTACCTCCTCGTCCAGCTCCCTCGCGTACATTCGCCGTATTATTCTTCGATTCCCTTACTAGACACCCAAAGCCAACACATAAAATAGAATTATTCATCCGTAAAATTGTTAAAAAAAAAACAACCGCTTAGAAACTCACCGGCCTGCGCGGGTGGGAGGGGCTTGGACGGTAGTTTCGCCGCAGCCGGGGCTGCAGTAGCCCCGGCGGGTTTATTAGAAGCGACCTTCTTCTGCTGCGCGGCGATCAGCTGAGAAAGGTCATCGTTTTCGCTGTCGATAAGGAGATCGAAGGGGTTCCCCGTCGCCATCCAGGCGGGTAAGGGGTGGAGCCGGGATCGGAGAAGCTCGATGTAGTGAAATCAATGGAGGAAAGAAACGAACTCCAGCGCTTCGAATGCCATCGGAGTCTCTCAGTAGTATAAAGGAAGAACTCTGCGAGAAAGGGAGAGGAAAGTGAAGTTTGGAGCGGCGGCAGCGGAAGCCAACAGATAGAACCCTAGCCAAACTGCGAAGAATTATAATGATATATGTTCACTGCTCAGGTTACGGCTTCATTTATTTATCTTATTTGACTTTCTAAAATGACAAAAAGTACTAATCGTCGCTATAGATGGGCTACGGCCCAGGGCTGCCTATCACTGGGCCGCGCAACTAGACCTCCTAATGTACGATACAAATGTTATTTGACTTAAAGCCCCTCAAATGTGAAGCATTAATATGGAGGATTTAAAATATTCCTAATCTATACTGTTTGAAAATTTTTGAATTATTCAAATGAAATGAATTTCAAGTATGTGCAAAACTCATAAGCATCAGACTCATTATCCATGACAGCTCGTCATCATTGCTCACAACTATCGATAACTATTTTTCATAATATCTCTAGAATTCATTAGATATAAATTCATCTCGATAATCAAATCTCATGTCCATGATGTTTAAGCCCCTTTCTTACTCAATAAGAGCTTTAAATTTCTTAAAATTTTCAAATGCCTCTAATTTCTCCTTCAAAAAGGGCACTTGTGTTTGCTTTGAAGAATTATTAAAGGAAAAGAGAAAATACTTCTTCTCAGCAAAAGATTGATCTAGTAAGGATTAATATGTTGATGTGTATAAACTCAAGTGGCTTTATGGGTCTTGAAGTCAACTCCTTCATAAAGCTTTTATGTTATTACTTCATAAGTAAGCATCCTTCATATATTGAGTTAGGTGATGCAAGATAGGATTCTCATCATCTCCTTCTTCAATTAAAGTTTTAAGATTGTCAAAGTTGATGTGTTCATATCTTAGATTTCATAACCATGAATAATCACAATAGAAATCATTTCAACACTTTGAAACATTACATTTAGTAGTGAAGAGAGAAATTCTACTTTTTGATAAATGTATACTGATAATCAAATTATTTAAATCTGACATGTCACCAAAAATCACCTTGATTGGATGAGAATTTTGATACATAATTGAATTGGAAAGTTTTAATATCAATTTTGGGACCATCTAAACTTCAATTTTAATAAACTTATAGTTAAATTAAATGTCTTGATAAGGCAAACCCAACAACGCCAAAATTGATACAAATGTGAGCATAAATGGGCTGAAATCGATCAAGAGCATATAGTATATTTAAAAGTCTCAAAGTATTAATTGAATAGTCAAATGATCTCCGAATTAGACATAGTTATAGCCGAATAGAGAGGCTCGGCGAGATGAATCGAATGTGCCGAAGATCACTCAATTCTGACATCATTAAGAAACTCAAATACTGAATAAATTGTCTATAATTGAGGGAATCAATATAGACTGTTTGATGGAGCACTCTGAATTTGCTCTAAATATTTTCAATATTTATGGAGTATCTCACTCTCAAATATTTATAAATAGTCCATCATTCTTCACATGAGGGGATGGATGAGACAGAAGAGAGAACTAGAAAAATCACTTTTGCATTTTTCAACAATTGCTACAGATGACTACCACCAGCTACTGTAGTCATAACCCATCGAGGATCAACATCAGAAATTCCTACCATCCCCATAATATTGATGAGATTTAACCTTGTTGTTGGGTGTATCCGTCTTCTTGTGGATATCTATTTTCTGTAATCTCTATTGAAAAAAGTAAGCCTTATTGTTAGGTGTTAACTCTCTCTTTATGGACACTTGATTTCTATAATCTCTATTAGAAAAAAATCAAGCGTTTGTTTAAACCCTCTCTTTTTTACCGGCAAAGAAGTGATGATTCTTGTATCATTTACTACAAAGTGGATTTTTCAAATAGGTCAAGCCCCATGATTTTTTCCGTTTTAGAGGTTTTCACGTAAAAACATTTTTGGTCTTACTACTTTTATATGTGCTTGTTGAATCTTTGTATGAATGCTAAGAGATAATATGCATAATCTAGTGATTCAAATTTTTTAGCACATAATAATATCACAACTTAAAAGAAATATATTTTCTTTCATGTTAATATAATATCCCCTCTCTAATAATTGGCCCAAACTCAAAATGTTATTCTTCATATTAGGTATGAAGTAAACACTTGAGATGAATTGTTGGCTTCCAATAAGCATATGAGAATTTTTTTTTAGCCTTCTACTAATATTTTGGATTCATCTCTAAATATGGCATTTCTTCATATTGCTTCATTAAGCTCTACAAATATGCTTTTTTCTTCACACATGTGATTTTTTGCACCTTTTACTATGAGAAAAAGGGCGATGATATGAGGGTGTTCTTCTCATATAGGAGTTTTTACAATAAGATGTCTAGTGAGGCAAGACTAATTAATCTTATCTCAACTAATAAAAAATACTCACAAGAAGTCATATCATCAAAGTTAAGTCAAGCTTAGTAGAAGATCTAGATTTATAATTCTTCTAAAGGGACTAGGCTCCTTAAATTTAATTACATTCCATAAAACTTTTAAGAGATGCTCACAATAAATGAAACATATTTTTATTTTAATTTGCTCCAATTAATATCAAGAAAAGGTAGCATATGCTTTAAAATGGTTCAATCTACAAAGTAGAGTGTGAATCACTGTAACTAAAAAAATCTAAGCAATCAAATTCTAAGTAGGAAATATGTAAAAGTTATAATCCATATCAATATCAGGAATGATGATAGAAGAAAAATAAATAAGACAACATAGCTATACACAACCAAATAAAAATTCTTAAATAATATGAGAATTTGTATAAACATATGAAAAACATTCTTGGAAATTTCTAAAATTCTCTAATTAAGGGATGCAAAAATATGAATTTGGAATAGTGCATAAAGGTATTTAAAAATCATAACTTGTAATACAATGATCACCACAACAACATCAAGCCTTTATCCCAATACATGGGGTCAGCTAAATACAATGATCACCAAACATGAAATTTTTTTCTAAGACTAATTATGAAACATTTGGATTATTCCAATAGGTTGACAATTTTTGCAAATTATTAGCCATTTAACAAAAATAAAATAGCAAGTATTCTATTTTTAAAAATAGAAATTACCACAAAAATAAAATGGAAGTAGTTTTATTAGATTCATTGTATTCAAACATGTCTCTAGTTTAAATTTCATTAAATTTGATTAACTAAATGAACACAAAAACTCACAAGTAAATACTAAAAAATCTTTAAGGGATTAAGTATAGTTGTTAGATCTTATTTTAAAAAGATCCAAAAGCTACCAGGGCATCTTCTTCCTCTAGCCATGGATCTAACTAAGAGATTAGGCTAAGCTCAAGTCAACCAACTTGAGGGAGGCTCACGTTGATTTTTCTCTCTCTAGTTCATTAAAGAAATTTGCTCATTGCATGGAGCATCAAGGTGCTTAGAGATACAAGAAGTGGGGTTTAACTCGCTTGGTCATTACCTAGAACTCCCCACAACAACATTTATATTCATTTTCAATATTTTGAGAACCTTAACAACATGGTTTATATTAGTTGTCAAATCAGATCCCTCGCCATGGTGAAGGTGAGGAGTGAATAACACTATCTCAATTTCCTTTGAGATACCTTAGATTATTGGATCGACCAAGGCCTGAAATCAAGTTTGGGTAAGAAAGTTTCTTAAGCTTGTTGGAAGACTAGAGAGGCTAAGGAAGGGTCCGAGGGACTTAGTGAAGCTCAAGGAAAGAAATTAGAATAAATGGAGAGGCTTTTTGGTGTTCAATTCTTCTACTTTAAATTGAGTCTTAATTAAGGATTAACCATTGTTAATCAAGGTAGTGAGTCAGCCACCTTGCTTAGGGACTCTTGGGTGGATGGATAGGATTATTCTAAGGTCAGAGGGCATAGAGGTACAATCCTCACTTGAGATTTTGCTTAATAATCATTAAAATTTACTCAGTTTCTCTTCGTGTTTAACTCTTGTTTGCTTATCTAATTAATGGTTTAGTTGGCTATTAGGATTAGTTCATGATCTTAGTTGACTTTAGAAGCAATTGGGTTACCTCATTTGGAGGTTAAACAGTTTAAACCTCTTTGGGCTATATATATTGGTTCAAAAATGGGTTTAATTGGCCCATTTGATCAAATTAAGTCAAATCAATGGCTAAATTTGGTTGGCATGGTTGGTAAGGACACTAGCACTCTAATCAAGGTTCATAAGTAATGACTTAAGCTAACCCGAAACATTAATTGGGCTCACTCATTTAGAGACATTTGGATTTCTAATGGGTTAAATTGGTTCATGTAACCAATCTTTTTTAAACCCATGATCAAACTTAGTTGACCATGATTGGGTCAAGGTCATCCTATATAAGACCTATGTGCAATTGATTCAACCAACTTGAAGATCACGATCAATTTGTCCAATTAAAATTGATTGAGTTTATTAGGTCAAATTTTATTCAATTGGTTTCTTTAATGAGCAAAGATGGGATCAGTTTATGGACTTCCTATAATGAGCCTAGAGACCACATAAATTGATCAACTAGTGATCAAAGGTAATTTGGTTCAGTTGAACTTATAACAGTTTAATTGAGTTATGTTTGATTTCTTTTATAAAATTCTTATAGGGGCCTACGCATTAATATATAAAAAAATTTACAGGTCCTTAGAGGATCAGAAGTTCTATAAAAATATAGTATTTAAAGTAAAACTTAATAAGCCTTAGATCCTATCTATTATAATAATCAAAACCATAATATCAAGGCAGGGAGGCAAACCCAAAAAATACACAAGCAAATCTTCCACAACGAACAACATCAACTTTCAAACATGATCAACAACAATAACACTCTTGAGATCAAGTACACCCAAAGCACAAGAACCCAATCACCAACAAAGGGCATAGCCCCAAGAAAAAAAGGCAACAACAACATAATCACCAGAATAACCAAATCAATCAAAAAACTATAAACATCATAAACACAATAGAAAATAGTACAAGCCATATTCCAAAGAAACGCCCCAAGCCCGAAAACTATTTAACATTGGATATAATAGTTCCTCCACTAGAATTCATGAAGTTGCAACCTTTACGTTAATTTTTCTTGCCTTTATTACTAGATCCCACAAG